GGATGTTGGCCATGTGAAATGACCAGAAGTTACAGTTTAATGTGTTGGGTCACTGGTCAGCTTTCTTAGGTCCATGATCAGAGTTGAGCACTTAAATACATACCTTAATTGTGTTATCTCTAAGTCCACTAACTATTTTCTGGTCATCATACTGCAAGCAGTAGACTCCTTTGCTATTCTCACTGTGGCAGAGGATGCGATGAAGAACATGGCGACCACAACGCCAATTTGTGTCAATTGTCTGTTTCAAAAAAGAAGGGAAAAGAAAACACATCATTAATACACTATTTCTGTGACAGTCAACCAATGAGTGGCTGAACCCATGGTGAATAATCATAAATATAATTAATAATAATTAATAATTAAAAATTACCAATACAGTGGAATCCTGATTTCTTGAACCCTCATTTTTTCAAACCTCTCGATGACTTGAACCAAAAGTTGTTCCCTCTCCTCAGTCAAACACTGTAATTTTACCCCAGATTTCTCGAACTCTTTGATTTCTTGAACCAATATTTTCGTTTCCCTTGGAGGTTCGAAAAATCAGGATCCACGGTAATTAATAAGGATTTAGGTCCAGCAATTTATAGCAATATTATCACTGTACTTTCAACCTGATCGCAGAATTGAACAAGAAAAAAGAAATTTAATAAGCTAAAGGTGCATAAATGGGTGAAAATGGCAAAGAAAAACAGATAAATGATGTTGGGCCTCTTTCTTCAAGTTCATTGCAGTTTGCATGAAAGTGTAACCTATGATGATCAGAAATCAGCTTTGATTGTTAGGTGTCCCTGATTAAAACAAAAATTAATTTTTCATCTGCATTTGCAAATAGAGCTCGCGAATTTTGTAAGAAAATTGACTGCCCCTCAACACGGCTTACCTCAAGGTCCTCTATTATTCTAGGATACAGTCTCCTAAAGAAAGCATTGGTAGGGGGGTCTGGTACTTGAGCTTTGAATAAATACTGGCCCCTAAAAATACAAACAATGGATTATTGGTCAACACCAAGTCACAAAACAAATTACACAAACAACATGTTCCATGCAGAGGTATCACTTTGATTTTAAGACATAAAAATACATCAGGACTTAGTAATTGTGTAAACGGTTTCCCACACATTCATAATTCATCATGTTTAAACAAAGGAAGTTATACATGAACAAAACAACTACAGTGTTTCATGAAATTTCCAAACAAATCAAAGTTTGTCAAATACTCCACTGTGTGTCGTATTTTGAACTCTGTTGTTTCTCAGTGTTTTGAAATTTGAGGCAACACTGTGTCTTACTGTTGATAAATTAGTTGAACTGACTATTTAAAAGTCACATTATGCCACAAGATAAAATCTGATAACACTGATAACCAATCATTGTACACAACCATGACTTGTTTTGCCACTTGTACAGGTATTTGTTCAAATTCTGATTGGCTTGCCTTTGTTATAATTGGCTTGACATTAAAGTTGGAATTTGGGTTTTCATTTTTTTTTTTGAAACTGCTCAATAGTGAGTAATATTTCAAAAAGTGGTCTTTCTCTTGTTCTGGGAAAGGATAGACAGCAGTGGTCTGGATATCATCCATGCGTTATTGCTTCATGCTGTGGAAACAGGAATTGAACCTGATGAGCCACAATGCAGCCCCATAACAAACTTTTCTACTCTAATTTGTATATCATTCAAGCCCATACCATCCTCTTCTTTCTGATAATCCTCTCCACAAAGGATCTGTTCGGACTTTTCTTTCAATGAGCTTTTTCCACAGCATTCCATCTGAAATTACTCTGTTCCATTCCTTGCAAACTCTTTCTGCAGCACACAAGGAAGTGGCATCCAAAAAGGACAGGATATTTTCAGCTATATGGTCCAAACCTTTAGCTGTAGAACAGAACAGGAAAGAACAATCACTAAAAGAAATCATGGCAATTTTTCATAGCAAATGTGTTATAAGAAGCTATACAAAAGAAGCTTGCATTCCCATCAGACTTGATTAACAATGTTGTTGTAAGTCACAATAACACAAAAAAGTGTTGTGTTCTAGTACTGTCCAAAGTGCAAAATTTTATTTCATATGCACACTATAATTAATTTTGAGGAACAACTGGATGAAAAAAAGAAAAGTTGTGGCCATTTTAATGGCGTTAATCAGACTATCTCTTGTAAATATTTTGCCCAGATTAAGATACACATATAACAAATTCCCACTCACAACAAACACATGTTCCAGTCCTAGATTCATTCTCACTTGAGATCTAGTGTCAAAGTACTCTCATGCTTCACTGCAGATGTGAATCAACATGTAACTAGTTACCACTAGCTGCATGTAGACTTGACATGGTACCTTAATTTACTGCCTCATGAAATGTGATTTACAGCTTGTACAGTTTGCAATGATTGGCCCATACTATTAAAAAGAGGCACGTCTTTGAAACAGGCATTACTACCAATTGGGATGTCTGCTATAATTGAGTTCCACAAATTGCAAAGATCTGATATAACGAATTGCCTTTTGTCTCAACTTCAACACTTTCAAAACAGTTCTGGTGCAAAATCATCCAAATGAAAAGGTTTTTGATCTGCATGAATGTGAACAATTTAACATAACAGGTTGTTAATCAAAACCCATTTCAAAACCAAGGGAAACGACAACATGGAATGGGTCATTTTTCTGAAATGACTTAGTTCATTGACCTGTACTGCACTGAGTTCTATTGTTTTTCTCTGATTCATCTTTATGGTTTCTTTAAGAGTAAAAACAAAACTTGCACTCAATGTTTGTACATCCATCAAAACAAGTCCTCCCTGTTCATGTACATTTGGCACATTCTGTTGTTAAGAAGTACTTTTTCACATGTACAACTTGAAAGATTTATGACCAAGTTATAAAGAGCATGTGGCATGCATGGAATATTAAAGCTATCTAAAGCTCAAGCAAGTTCAAATACAAGACACTTTGATTGAAGTAAGACAATGAATTGGACAACACCAAAGATGATAATCTTAGAATAATTTACGCAAGGTTTCAAACTCAAAAACACAACTGGCCTGAGGAAAAGCTAACAACAATTTGAGCTTACATCAAAAGCTGGTCATGGCCTGTCTTAACTCCGATTTTTGTGAACCTTATGCTTCCTATGACAACTAAACTTACTCTGGTGAACTATTTTAGATTTCTTTTATTTGTTTATAACGTGAATTAATTCCTAACGTACATAAATCTTGAGCAAACATACCTTGAACTCACGAATACGACTTAAAATTAGCGTTGTGGGGCGCACTCGCTATTAACATGGCAATTCAAGTATTTTATTATGACACACGCAATGATATCGATATTGGTTCCCTAACAAATACAGGGGAAAGTATTTTTAACCACGAAAATCTCGGCGAGTTTCGTAAGAAGCCGCCACCAAAAATAATAAACACGACGAAATCAACACATCGATGCATAAGTAACTATGATACGAACGACGCATCGAGCATTTGATGAATATTATCAACACAAAATGTTTAGTATCCTTTCGTTTCCTGGAATGACTTCAAATCCATCTTGCTACACAGTTTACAAAGGGAGCACCCGCTTAAGCCTACCGCAAAGGGAAAGGTAAACATGCCTCGGCTAAAAACGGCGTAATCAACTTACCAGGTAAAGCAGTTATAAAATCTCTTTGCAACATGGGCTTTAGATACGAATTGATATGTCCGTGTTGGTAATGGCACATTTTGGAGAGCAGATATTCTACAAATTCGACTTGTTGGGTTTCTGACCATTTCTCAAAATGCTTGGCACAAGCTTCACTTTGTTGAATGAAAAGTTCTCGGCTTCTTTCGCTCTCCTTCTCACTGGACTTTTCCTCGTCGCCATCGATAACCATAACCTAAACGAAAGGGGAATGATGTTTTAGTCAAACGTTTTAGTGAGATGATGGGCTTTAAGAGATCATATGAACCTTCATAGCACTAATTCTCTCCTTACACTATCTTCTTCGAAGCCGTAATCAATCATCTCGTCCTCCATAGTTCTAAAATACCGAAGTTTTTTTAGAAGTCCGAAAAAACTCTCTTCCTTCTGTTTGATAGCGAACCTTCCTGAGATCGTGACATCACGAAAAATTCTATTACGCATGAGCAGTGCTGATAATTAATATTTCCAGACCCCTGGCGAGGCGAAAGCGGAAACAAATTCCGGTATCTCTTCGTCTTTTTTATGCCTATCGCAAAAATAGGACATTAATCTGGAATCTTTCCCTTACCTCTCTGTTTTCTCAGATCATGTAGTTTCATCCAGGGGCAAAAGTAACTGAGACACTGCCTGAAAACAAACCTTTTCTCTTCAAGCGTGATGTATCCTTTCGACCCAATCCCATGTTGTAGTCACGTGATAGTGTCGACAAAGCTCAACTCTGTTTGGGTACTACCGGGAGGGTTTTTTTTGTTTTGTTTTTGTTTGTTTGTTTGTTTGTTTTTGTTTTTCATTAAAGGAGGTACGTTTCTTGGTTAGAAAGCTTCTGCAATAGGCCACGTTCGATAAGTCAATATTCTAACATGGCTCCGAAGCTTTCGGGTCAAAATTGCAAAAGTTTAAACTTCCTTTTGCCTCTCAATTCCCAAAAGAGACTTGGATACAAAGAAAACAACATCACCAAATATAAATAGAAGTTTGTCCTGAAAGCCTCGGAGCCATGTTAGAATATTGATATATCGAACGTGGCCTATATACTGTACGGAAAAAAATTATCAGTTAAAAAAAATAAAGAGGCTTTGACTGACGTTCTTCATTGCTTGTAACGTGGAAAGGCTCACGCAGAGGAGTCGGAAGAAACGGAAGGAATTTACTGAGATGCAAAGGAGAAATGCTGGGGGTGTTGAGTGTGCAAGTCGGAGTTGAACTGGAATAATTTCTTCCACTGCTGCATCATACGTGGATTTAGGGAGTATTAAAAAGCCCATCGCCCTTCCCCTCCCCCTCCCTCGCTTTTTTTCCGGAATATTAATTTTGCTTCTATAACCAACTGTCTTACGAGAGGTATTGTAGGATGTTCATTAGCTGTGAGTACGGGGCGAGGCTGTGCTCTCGCCGAATTATTTTTTTGTCCCTTTCTGATAGTCATGTGAAGCATCGAGCCTAAGATGAACACTCTCGTTCCCAGAGTTTTTCCGTTGAAATTTAGAAAGGGTGGGACCCTGTAGACACATGAACACCGATCAGGATAACTAAGACGGTCAACTCAATCCTGTTAGTCCTTATGCACGAATGAAGAGCAATGATGAGATGAGCTCAGAGGGCAACGACAGCGTCATCCACTGAACTGCGCACCAGTTTCCTCTTTCCTAATTTTCGCGTCAATCCTGAACATATATAATGAGGCTTTATTTTCGGTTGCTTACAATGTTAGTTAGCGCCTGCAAAGATCCATTCCCGCATCTTATTCTTGTTTTATTTCATACATTCATGCATCAGATCTCTCATTAATCGCTTCACGGATGTAACAAAAATAAAGCTCCCAGTGTTTTCATCACGCTCCGCGGTAACCCGTTTTCACAGAGTCCTTCAAATCACTTTTATATTTCTATTTTTGTATATGATCAGATTTCTTTTACAGATCCTACCGTATAGCAGCAGCATTTTCGTTTGCGGTCCCTTGCATCATTTGTATTCACTTTTTCAGGCTTCTTTTTTCGCTCATTTTAGGCGTACCTCATTTTATGAGGGAATACTCCGCATATCTAGGAAGCGCTTTGTTACGCTTCAATCATTTCCAGCGGTGCTGATCTTTCTTCACATTGGTGACCATTGGTGGTGGCTGGTTACCTCATGTGGACACTTTAGTGTGATCTAAACGAAGTGATGGTATAAACAGGCGGCAAAATCAGTGTGGCGTGGTGTTCACTTTTTTTAACAAAAACACGTGTACACGTGTGGAAAAGGAACCAAGCGAGACAGGTCAGACAGAGATTTCTTCCGGAATATTCCTCGGGCAATCCCCTCTAAAGCCGTCTATATTCTGGAAAACTGAACGAGACAGATTTAACAGAGGATCCAAAGAAATAGCGTTGCTGAGAAATATACGCCTTGCACAAGAGGGGAGAGAAATCATCAAGACACTCACTGAAGTATAAAAGGACAAGACCCAAACGCGAGGTAACAAACTTTAAACTGAAGAATAGGCTTTCTGAACGAAATATTGTTGGTTTTTTGGTCTTCACGTGATTTCTTTCTGTTTCTGGGGATGTTCTTCATTCAGTTGCATTTGTTGCAGGATACGGACAAACCTTTTCAACTTGAGGGAGTATTTAAAATTGTCGATCTAAAACTTGAATGATCACAAACATGTAATAAAAATGGAGGGCCACCGAGCTCTTTTTTGTGCAGTATGAATAGTAACTATTTGACCCTGGAGATTTTCTTTTAGGACCCTTTTTCAGTAAGTAATCAGAAAGGCATTTTACTAGAAAAATAAACGTAAAAACATGATTTTCGTTGGCATCTTGTCGCCATTAGGGAGCTTAAGAAAACCACGATGGCAACGGCAACGGCAACGACAAAAGGTTTAACGAGGAGAACAATGGCTGTGCACGTGCGTTATAATTCTTGGTACATTTCTTTGCCGTCCTCTGTGAAACAACAACGTGAAATGACCAAATTTCGCGTTGTCTGGAGAACGTGAACCATGAAGGCTATTTTTAAATTTTTAATTTGAATTTATCGATGTGTCCTAGATTCGGTTTCGTGATAGTTTTGACAGTGATAAACAAAGTTAATGACTCTAGGGTATCGCGAGATTCCTAGGTAAGATATAAAATCATTTCTTAATCGGCGTTGTCCTCGGCGTCGCCGTCGTGGTTTCTTAAGCATCCTAATATCAGATGCAGATGTAAAAAGGTTCAGTTAATCTTCATTTGATAATGGCTACAAGATGATGCCGAAACGTCATGTTTTTTAGTTTATTTTTCTTATAAATAAAATGTAATCAGAAAGAAGTACTATGATTTCTGAAAACGTTATTTCTTGCATTAGATGTTGGAGCCGTTCAACAAAATAGATTTGGAATCTATATGGTGAGCTGATTAAAGAATTTTTAACTTTCAGTTCAGCAAAATCGCGACTTTCTGCATACCGTATTTCATTTAAATTTATTTTACAAACTGAAAGAGTGGTCATCGTGCTCGTTTAGGAGAAAACGAACATTTATTTCCCTGTCGAGCTTAGCTCGACGGAATATCTCTTATGTTATGTATATGCATGGAAATGCGCTTGTGTACATGCGCACGGAAATCGTGGCGAGAAACTGCATTAGGGTACGTTCCTCTGGGGTGATCTGGATCAGGATCAGTGTGATGCCATGGTATATCAAAGAAACCGATGATCACGGACTCGGACCCAGTCACGGACCCGTGGGGTACTCCCAGAAAAATTGGGTGGGGGTGTGCAGCCCGCTTTCCAAAACCCTTACCCTATTTATGACCAAAAATCTGCGATTTTCCCTACCCTGTTTATGACCTGACCAAATTTATGACCTGACCCTTGAATCCGATACCCTGTTTCAGACTTGCCTTAAAATTAGTTCCCTAGTTCAGACCAATGTTAAACTGCTGTGGAATAATTTGTGAAGGGCTTTTGTTGATTAGTCTCCTCCGCAGCCGTTTTTTGGGATGTCACGCAACGCTCCCCCAAAGAAACTTTGGGGGAGCGTTGCGTGACATCCCAAAAAACGGCTGCGGAGGAGACTATTTGTTGATGGGCTTATCGATAATGATGAAAAAAATAACCTCTTCTGAAAAAAACGTACCCAATTGAAGACTTGAGTGCAAAAACTATACCCTAATTATGACCATAATGGCCAAAATTATACTCTTTCAGTATGACCAAAACGGCTGAAAAACCATACCCGTTGGGGCCGCACATAGCTATAAAGCCCATATAAGGGAGTTTCCCCACCCCCCCTCCCACCGGACCCATGATCTGAGTGATCTTGGATCAAGAGAAAACAAACAGCGGTAACAAACATAACAAAAAGATTACGCATGGTATATTCAACTTGACGTTTTGTATGTTACAGCACACATCTTCAGAAGTGACGGTTTCAAAATATGACAAAATTTAAAAAGACTAAAACTAAAGCGAGGTATTGGTAACTAGCTAGAAAACAATAAACAAAAGAAAATACATCCGGTGTAAATTAATAAAGAAATAGTTTTCACTACCGACGTTTTCATTTCGGGCGGGTTTTTAGTCCCGTATTAACACTGTTTCCTTGATTTTAAACTGTAAATCACATTGCCCACTTGCTAAGATCTCGAAATGGTCCCATTTGATATTGTGACCAGTAGAAGTTGATCTTGGATCACTGATCCTGATCCATATTAGTCATATTAGCACCCCAAAGGAACGCACCATAACTCAG